GGCCGTACTGTATCTACCAATCAAGGGCCGAAGTAGCTGTGATGGACAGGGATAGCGGGAAGAGGCCCCAAGTTCGGACTCTCACCCAACCGGCGGGCCACAATTCCGTGAAAGGGCCAATGAAGCGGCGGCGGGGGAGGGGCGAAGAGGCCGGTTGCTCCGGAAGTGGAGGGAGGGGATGAAAATGGCGCCCAGCTCGAAATCGGAGCGGAACAGCGGGGCTGGGAGCGGCGGTGGCGGCCCCGGGGGCGCCGGGGGGAAGCGGGCAGCGGGGCGTCGGCGGGAGCACGTCCTCAAGCAGTTGGAGCGGGTCAAGGTGAGGCCCAGAGTCCGGGAGGATCGCGCCGGACGGTGCGGAAGAGGGACGAGGGAGGCAGAGGGAGGGAGGGAGTTCGCGGGGTGAGGGGTTGTGGGCGGAGCCCCAGGGGAGGGGGTCTGAGGGAGGGAGTTGGGCGGCGCCCCGGGGAGAGAGCTTGGATGCAGGGGGCTTTAGCGGGGGCTTGGATGGAGGGGTTGGAGGCGGGGCACCGGCGACACGGCCTTGATGGAGGGGGCCTTACAGGCAGCTGGAGGAATAGAAAGGAAGGAAGCGATTCAGGGTCAGACTCATTTTTCAAAACCCTGCTCCCGTGGCCCCTCCGTTATGGAGCCTTCCCGCCCCCTTAGCAGTGCCCCTTCTACCGGCTTTGCCCTTCCTCCGCTTGGTGTTCCTCTCCCTGTCCTGTTCTCATCACCCAGTAGCTGGGAGTTCTTGTATTTGCCACGGCCCCCCTACTGAATGGGAGGGAGCTCCCTGGAGAGGGCCTGGTCTTCCACTTCAGGCTGGGAGCCACCTAAGCAGGGTTTTTTCTCCCCCATCAGACTGTGTGCCAGGATCTCTCCCCCGTCAGTTTGGGAACTCTGAGAGGGCAGAGAGTTGTGAATCTGTGGTCCGGTGAGCAGCAGTTTTGTCAGGACTGTGTCACTGTTGGTAGGGAGTGCGTCTCCTCTCTTAGGCGGGAGCTGAGCTTCGTCAGGACAGGGCTGTGTCTCCTTCTTTTGACTGGAGCTCCCTGGGCAGGGACAGTCTCCGCCCTCAGCCTGGGAGCTCCTTGCACTGGACTGTGGCTCCACCCTTAGCTTGGAAGCTCTGTGGATGGGTAACTGGGTATCGAGTCTTCCTTGTCAGCTTGGGCCTTATTGACAGGGCTGTTCCATCAGACTGGGATCTCCTTGAGGGCTGGGCTGTCTGCCCCACTGGCCCGGGGGCTCCCCAGGCAGGGCTATCTCTTTCCCACTAGACTGAATTTTCTTGAGGGCAGGACTGTATATCCCCCACCAGACCGGGTAGCAGGACCCAGCACATCCTTATCACCTAGCACCCAGCTTGTGCCTGCCCGTCTCCCCAAATCCTTCCTTGGTGAAGTTTTTGAGATGAAGGAGTCAGTTCAAAGGGGGCTACGTTAATTGAGAAGGAGCAATCGGGAAGGAATTGGAAGGTCATTGGTCAGCCCCACCTTTCTCTGTCTGCCTCTCTTGGTCCCCACCTGAGGCCAGGGCTGTCCCAAGGGGCTGAGCATCCCATGTGTTTGCTAGGGGGTCGAGGACAGGTGAGTGCAGTTGGTCAAGCCCCCATCCTAGCCTTCTTAGCCGTCGAGGACACCCACAGCTCAATGTGCTGTGAGGCAGCCTTCGGGAAGGCAGCCAGATGGCAGGCCCAGTGTGGCCAGGGGTGACCAGGAACCCTTCCGTGGGGGAAAGGGGTGATGCCAGTGCTGATCCTCAGAGAATGGGGCCTTGGGCTGAGGAAGTCTGGGCTGGGAGGGTAACCCAGGTCCCTGGTAGAGAGGGAAGCTCAAGGGAAGCCCAGCCCATCCATCTCCCCTATGGCTGATCCCACCCTCCAGAGCTTGGACCACCCTTGATTGTTGTGGTTGGCAGGGGGTAGGCCTGCATGCAGCGCTGCTCTCCTTTGGGTGAGGGGGTAGGGGGGCTGCAAGTGGCCTCTGCTTGATGGTGCCTCAAGAGTCCTGATTGCCCTTTCCCTAGATCAGTGGGCAGCTCTCTCCTCGCCTCTTCCGGAAGCTGCCGCCCAGGGTCTGTGTTTCTCTTAAGAGCATCGTGGATGAGGACTTCCTCTATGCAGGGTGAGGCTAAGGCCGGGCAGGGGGGCAGCCGGGTGGGGTGGTGGGCTGACCCTGACCAGGCCCATCTGCTCTCTGCCCTGCCAGGCATATCTTCCTGGGCTTTTCCAAGTGCGGCCGGTACGTTCTCTCCTACACCAGCAGCAGTGGGGACGACGACTTCTCCTTCTACATCTACCACCTGTACTGGTGGGAGTTCAACGTCCACAGCAAGCTCAAGCTGGTAGGGTCAGGCACAGCACTCAACAGCGTGACCGCACCAGGTCGTGCCACCCCTCTGAGCCTCAGGTTCCTTGAGGAGACAGTGCGCCCATTGGGTAATGGTCAAGCCTTCATGTTAGGTCAAACCACATGAAATTGTTGTTTTTAGAGTTGAAAATAGGTAAATAGTGGCAGTTTTATGTGGTTCAACTAAACATATGCAGCTCATAGAACCTCATAGGCTTGGACCAGGTGAGACCGTTAGCTTTGTTATGACCAGGTGGGTTACCAGACTGGCTTTGGCTCTGACCTTGACTCCTCAAATCCCTACCCCCATCCCAGGAGATGGGTACAGTTACCCTAGTCTGCACAGGAGCTCAGCAAGGGGAATGGGTTTCGGGGGGGCGGGGCTTGGAACCAACACGTCTCGCTGAGTCCCGTTTGCTGGGGCAGGGATCCTATGGGCCTCGTCCAGTCCTGGGCCCAGCCTTCCTGTTTCCCCCGTTGTGAGGGCTGCCTCCTCAGCCTGTCCTCAGGAAGGCAGAGGGGTGTGGGCTGGAGGCTGCTTGGGGCTGCCTGGCCTGGGACACCACCAGCAGTGTTTCTGCCAGCTCAGCCCTGGCCTCAGTTCCAGCCCAGCACTGAGCAGCCCATGGTGGGCCCCTGCGGCCCCAGCCCACTTTGACCAGCGCTGACACAAACTGCGCTGCTCAGGTCCGGCAGGTGCGGCTCTTCCAGGATGAGGAGATCTACAGTGATCTTTACCTGACTGTGTGTGAGTGGCCCAGCGATGCATCCAAGGTCATCGTCTTTGGCTTCAAGTGAGACTCAGGGATGGGGAGGCTGAGGGTGGGTAGGGCAGGGCAGGGCACACGGGCCAGGCAGCTGAGGCTGTGCTGGCCCCCAGCACCCGTTCAGCCAATGGGATGCTTATGAACATGATGATGATGAGTGACGAGAACCACCGCGACATCTACATCAGCACGGTGGCTGTGCCACCACCAGGCCGCTGTGCCGCCTGCCGGGAAGCCAGCCGGGCCCATCCAGGTGAGGAGCTGGGAGGCTTCGGAGCTCGGGCCACCTGCCTCCCTACTCCAGGGTGGCGGCTGAGCCCATGGGCCTTTGTTGCTGCAGGTGACCCTAGCGCACAGTGCCTGCGACATGGCTTCATGCTGCACACCAAGTACCAGGTGGTGTACCCCTTCCCCACTTTCCAGCCCGCCTTCCAGCTCAAGAAGGACCAGGTGGTACTGCTCAACACCAGCTACTCCCTGGTGGCTTGCGCTGTCTCGGTCCACTCGGCAGGTAGGCTCCCAGTCTGATGATAGTCGCAGCATTCGCTCTAAGTCCTGCAAGGTTTGTCCTGTCACAACCCCATGTGACAACAAGAGACAGACTTGGAGGGGCGCCTCATCCAAGATCACACAGTCACCAAGCAGGAGAGCCTAGGACCCAAAACCAGCCATGCCTCGCCCCAGCAGTGTCCACTAGAACTTTCCGTCGGGCTGGGATATTCTACGTCTGAGTCCACTACAGCTGTCACCAGTAGAAACTTGAAAGTGGGTCATGTAACCAAGGAACTGAGCGTTTGACTATTTGATTTTAGTTATGTTTAGTTTAAAAATCATGTGTGGCCAGTGGCAGTCGTGCTAGACCACACAGTACTACCTTCTCTTCAAGAGGAGAAACATACGCTCAAGATTTTAGGGAGTGGTGAATGGACGGATGGCCCTCTTACATCTTTGGTAATCAGAGAAATGCCAGTGAAAATCAGAAGGTGATGTCCCTAGACGGAGTGGCAAACATTAGGAAGCTGGCAGTGCCGTGGAGCCTGGGGGCTTCCCCCCACCCCCACTCCCAGGCCACATGGCAACAGAGTGTGATTTAGGCCCAGCAGCCCTGCACCTGGGCATGTCCAAGGCTGTGGTGCGGGCCACCTGGTGTTCACCCTGGGTGTGCGGGAGGGAGAAGAGGGCAGGTACGGGCCTCAGATCACTAGATCGTGTCTAGGGAGCAGGCCTCAAAGTCCTTCACAAATGCAAAAGAAACCGAAGATCTGTACCTGAAAAACATGCATAAATTTAAAATGTTTCAATTTTACAACAATGCAGTCAAAAGATGTGCACTAACTGGGGTGAAAGGGTTGCCCCTGGGGTGGGAGGGCTGTGGGTAAGGAGAGAAAAAGCTCAATGTCCAGAGCCCACAGGCATGCTCTCCCTTGTACCTTCCCCTTCCCCTTCCTCCCCCCAGGCATGTTACGTTTGCCTTCCTCCTCAGCACCAAGGGCCCTCCTTTTGCTTCCGTAACTTGTTCCCTGAGCCTACGCAGCCCAGCTGGCTCACTTCTACTACCTCTGTAACTTGCTAAATAAACTTTCTCTTAGAAATTGAAAAAATAAAACAGAGCCCACAAACTGGCCAGGACCAGGGCATGTTGTGTCTGGACCCTTTAGGGGCCTCCGACCCCTGCCCTGGCCACCTGTGCCCATGTGGGCAAGGCCCTGCCCGTCCCTGAGCTGAGACCCCCTAATGAGCCTGGTCTAGATGGGCCCGTGCCCCTTGCCGCCACGGGTCCTGTTAGGAAGAACCACATCAGACAGGACTCGGCCACGTGCGCCCAGCCCAGGGAAGGGGCGCTGTCACTGGTGCCTAACGCTCATCTCACTGGAGGACGGTATTTACAGGAGTTTCGACTTGGCCATTTTCATTTTCATCCCCTTCACCCACAGAAGTGCCCCTGCTTCGGTGGGCAGGAGGGCTTTGGTGGACTCGAATTATCTTGTGCTGTGGCCTTGGACAAGTTTCTATGAACTGAAAGGAACACCCCGTGCCCCACTGCTTGTGGGGGGCCCAGAGGGGGTGGTGCAGGTCGGGCGCAGGGCAGGCTGTGGTGCTACCTAGTTTGTTGAGTGGTGGGGCTCTCCACGCTGAGCCCACATCCCCCAGAGGAGGCGTGGCCCTAGTCAGGCAGATACACACAGGCCGAGGAGGCTTTGGCCAGGCTTTCCCTGCACCTGTGTGGCTCATGGTGGGGAGCATGGAGTGTAGTAAACTCTCAAACTTACGTGGGTTTTATCTGCTGTCACCGTCAACCATGGGTTCCTCAAAGGCAGGGAATTTTTGTCTGTTTTGTTCACTCCTGTGTCCTGTGTCTGTGGCATATAAGGTCAGAATGAACGTGTTCATACGTGCGTGCATATAAGAGGCCTTTTCTCTTTTGGGTGTTTTCGTACTGATCATTTAGCATAGGATTACTTAGAACCCCTCCAGGGTGGGGTTCTGGAGGGGTCCAGTGGGGAGTCCTGGATTTAAGTTCTTTTATTGACACCGCCCTCCCCCTGCACCTCTCTCTCTCTCTATATTTCAGGCGATAGCAGCTTCTGCCAAATCCTGTATGACCATACCACCTGTCCCCCAGTGCCGCCCAGTGCCCCTGGGCCCCAGAGCCTAGAAGTGCCCCCAGCACTCCCCAACCTCTGCCCGGAGGTGGCCCCAGCCCATCCATTTGGGGTCCCTGATTCCTCACCCGCCATCGCCAAAGCCAAGGAGTTTGTAGCCGACATCTTCCGCAGGGCCAAAGAGGCCAAGGGTGGGACCTCAGAGGAAGCCCGGCCACCCTCTTGCACAGGGCCTTCAGGCAGCTGCTGCCGCCCATCCTCTGAGCCTCTAGCCCCAGGTGGAGAGGTCGCACCCCGGGACAGCCCCCCTGCAGCAGAGGAGCCAGTCCCTGAACCTGGCTATGTCAACTACACTAAGCTGTATTACGTGCTAGGGTCTGGCGAAGGGACAGAGCCAGAGGATGGTGAGCAGGGGGTCCCCCCAGTGGGCGGGGTCCCCCCAGCAGGCAGGGCCCCAGGTTCGGGAGGCTGGCCTGGAGTGGGCCTCGGGCCTCCGCCACCCTTACCCTTACTCCCCCTTCAGAGTTCGAGGATGACAAGATCTCCCTGCCCTTTGTGGTGACTGATCTCCGTGGCCGCAGTCTGAGGCCCATGCGGGAGCGAGCTGCTGTTCAGGTAGGTGGGGGTGGTGGACAGGACAAGGGGCAGCCCCAGGGAACTTGCTGGGGTGGTAGTCGGCACAGTCCTCCCCTGTCCCTCCACCCGCTGCTCACAGGGTCAGTACCTGACAGTGGAGCAGCTCACGCTGGACTTTGAGTATGTCATCAATGAGGTCATCCGCCATGACGCCACCTGGGGCCACCAGTTCTGTTCCTTCAGTGACTATGACATCGTCATCCTAGAGGTGGGCCCAAGGATGGGACAAAGCAGGTCCTCCTGGGCCTCTCTGCTCTGGGGGTCACCTCAGTAGCTGTCACCATCCACCCCGCATCCCACAGGTCTGCCCAGAAACCAACCAGGTCCTGATCAACATTGGCCTGCTGCTTCTGGCGTTCCCATCCCCCACTGAGGAGGGCCAGCTCCGGTGAGCAGACGGGGACCTTGCCCTCGCCCAGCAGGGGGCTATGCTCAGACCTTCAGTGTGGGGGAGTGGGGATGTGAAAAGGTTCCCCCTGTCCCCCAAACTTGGATCAGGCGCCCTGTTACTGTTCCAAAGACAAAAATGCCCCTCGGGGCAGCCTGGGTTCCAGCTCTGTTCCCCAACCCCCTGCAGACCAAAGACCTATCACACCAGCCTCAAGGTGGCATGGGACCTCAATACAGGCATCTTCGTGACAGTCAATGTGGGTGACCTCACTGAGGTCAAAGGGCAGACCAGGTAAGGCTGGGCTGGGGCCAGGGCCCAGGGTGGGTGGCCAGAGCGATGAGTGCCCTCACCTTTTTGCCCTCAGCGGCAGTGTCTGGAGCTCATACCGCAAGAGCTGTGTGGACATGGTCATGAAGTGGCTGGTGCCCGAGAGCAGCGGCCGCTACGTCAACAGGATGACTAACGAGGCACTGCACAAAGGTGGGCCCTGTGACCCAATGCCAGTAGGACAGAGCTCGTTATCCTAGTGCCGGGCCTGGCCCAGAGTAGACCGTGACGCCTGCGGCAATGGGTGGACGAGCACGCGGGCCACGCTAGTGGGCGCTATGGGACTGGGGCAAGGGGAGGGCAGCCTAGCCAGGCCATGCTTGGGGGCCAGCTCAGAGAGGGCCTAGCAAGCGTGGCACCAAGAGACCCCCAGCCAGTTGCTCATTGATTCAGCGGACATTTATTGGGTAGCTGCAAAGGCAGAGATAACACAGCAGGGTCCCTGCATTCCAGAACCTTCTGGGCCCAAATCAGGTTTGGGAAGGAGGCAGGCCTCTCCTACATCTGGGTCTGCTGAGATTCCATGGTCTGTGCCAACCCTTCCCTGCAGGGTGCTCACTGAAGGTTCTGGCAGACAGCGAGCGATACACATGGATTGTGCTGTGAGGGTCTGGCTGTCCTGGACACTGACTCCAACTACCTCCGTGGCCTGGGAGCTGGCCGCCTTCCTGGCAGCCTCTTGGCTGGCCGGCCGCCCAACGACCGCCACTAGTGTTAGGCTGTGGGAAGAGGGCTGGGCAGAGCAGCCCCTGGTGGCCTGAGAGTCTGGATGCTTCTTATTTATGCCTATTTAAGTTGGGAAGGGGCAGAGGGAGGGAGTCCCCTGTCCCACCAGCCTTCAGTGCCCACCTTCATCCTGAACTGGGCATGGCCATTGCTCCTTGTGTATTTCCCCTTCCCAGGCAGCAGGTGTGGACATTGCCCCCTGGGAGGCTGAATAGACCCTGATTCCTGCCCCAGCCTCCCCACCTGAGGTGGCAACATCATTGCCGCCCCCCCACCCCCATTATTCCTCTTCATGTAATAAATGTTTTATTTCTGAACCTCACTGAGTTCCCTTTACTGCAGCTGGGGCAACTGGAGCCCCCAAAGCCCCCTCCCCCGCCCCACAAGGCCCTCGAGTCAGCAGTAGCCAAATATCACAGCGGAATTTATTGTTTTAAGAAAGACTACAAAAAGGTAGAAAACGGCTTGGCACACTAGACTACCACACTTTCACTGCTGGGAGGGGAGGCCCAAGGACGTGGAGGGGAGTGGGTCGCCACCCCAAAAGCTTGCAGCACTGCGGAGCACACAAAATAGTGATTTTTATACAATAGGTCAGGCTTTTTTTCTTTTTTTTTTTTTGATTTTTGCCATAAACATCTATCTCACAGCTTGAAAACACTGAGAAAACTGGAACAGATAAGGCCATGATGGTTGGAAAAAAACCCAAGTTACCAACTCCGCTTGGGCGGCACTCACAAATCGCACAATAGTCATGGGGGGACATGGGCGGGGGGCGGGGGGCAGGGGGCGGGCACACGGCATTGAGAAGCACGGAGGTTCCATTACAAACCAGCGGCAGGATGTGGGGGGTCTTGGATCTGAGCGAGTGGAGCCCAGGCCTTGACGGGCAGGCCACTTCCGGGCCCTGCTGCCCGCAGCAGGCCCCTCCAGGCTCCGGCACCAGGCCCAGCCCACTGCTCTTTGGAAGCTGGAGGCAGTGCCCCCTGCCGCCCTCCTCAGAGCCAGGCCGGGCAGTGCCCCCCTCTAGGGCTGTGGGGCAAGGGAGGACCCAGCTCTGTAGAAGATGCGACACCCACGGCTTTAATTGCACTTATACCAAGGAGGAGGGAGCAGTGGGGTTGCTGGGGGAGGGGTCCCGGGGCTGCTGCTGACAGTGAGGGAGGGGTCCCTATGATGCCCACCTGTGCCCACCCGGGGCTCAGGACTGGGCCCAGGACAGGCTGTGCAAAGCCAGCTAGCTGAATAAGTTAACAGGGGAGGGGGCCTGCCTGCCTGCCCCCTGGGGGCAGGGCGGGGGAGGGAGAGGCTGCTGCCTTCGGGGTCAAGGGGCCGGGCTGCTGCCCCAACAAAGGGCACCTGGGCACAGCGGCGGGTTCCGTAAGGCACGTCTTTTGTGTCAGAGTTTGTAGCTGTGGCTTCACCCGGCCCTGTGATTGTGCCGGCCCCGTCGGGGGCGGGGACCCCCTTGCCTTCCCTGTCTCGGAGGCCCCCTCCCCGCCCTGGCCGAGGCTGGAGTGGGGATTGCGAAGCCACAGAAGCTGTGAGGGACCCTGGCGTGGAGGGGCGGAGGGGTGGAGGGGGGTGGATGGGCAAGGCAGGGTGGGGAAGGCCCCGGGCTTAGCTGGAGGGCAGCGCCTGTACGAAGAGGCCGCGGGCGTCTGTCCGCGCAAGCTTGGCCGGGGGCTCCAGGGCCTCGGGTCCCAGCGCGGGCGACTCGCTGCCAGCCGCCAGAGAGATGTCCTGTGACAGCTCGTCTTCGCTCTCCTCCTCCTCTTCCTCCTCCTCGTCTGGGGCACAAGGACCAGAACCGCTCAGTGCAGGTCACGGTGTCCCCAACGGCCCTCCCACCTGCGGAGCCTCCTTCACCCGAGACCGTGCCCAGCCTGTCCCGGACTCAGGCCCTAAACAGGGACAAGCCTCACCTACCTTTGTCTGCGTCTATGGGGTTCAGCGAGGTGGCCAGGTTGGCGAACTGGAAGGAGGGGAAAGGACAAAGGGTGAGGGTCCCGCCAACGGGCGCCCCGCCCGCACCCTCCGTGCTCCTCCTCGCACCTCGCCCATGACGGCGATCGGGGTTTCGCCCTTGGCCTGGGCCACGCGGTGCTCAATCAGGTAGTACATGTACTCGTCGTAGAGCAGCCGGATGAGGTGGAAGGAACCGAAGCTGGCCGCGCTACGCAGGGTCAGGTCCCTAATCACCATAGAGCTGGGGGCAGAAATGAAGAGGCAGTGTGAGGCCCTGTGACCCACCCCTCGTACCCCCATTTCCGCCACAGGCTCAAGCAAGCCCAGCGGCCCCAGGCCAGCCAGCACAGGCTTCCGTGGGGCGTGTACCAGTGACAGCGGAGGGCCCTCGCGCTTCCGCACCCCCACCCTACGTCTGCCTTCCTGAAAGGCCACCTAGGCCCCCAGCAAGGCGGGGCCTTTCCTGGTCCCACTCTCTCTAAGGAGGCGGGGCCCTTTCCAGCCCCTCCCCTCCCGGTCCTGCCCAGTCTGTGGAAGTATCCCGAGCCCACCTGTAGAAGGACCACTTGAGGAGGAAGAGCTTGGCGGCCTTGGGGAAGCCGGCGCTGCCCTGGTAGGGCTTGAGCACCTGACTCACGACGCCGTCCAGCCAGGCCGCCCACTGTTCCAGTGAGTTCTGCTGCTGCAGCGTCACCTTGAAGTCCTGCTCCAGCCGCTGCACTACACGGTCCTCGCAGCGGCACACCCATGAGGCCTGCTCCTGGGGCACAGTGGGAGGGCATCCCCCAACTCAGCCGCCATCCAGGGCCGGCTGACCCGCCCGTCTCGCTCACCGGCCCCGCCCTGTGCTCACCTGCACGTTGGCGAAGTCCACCCGGTTGAGGTCGCTCAGCATCTGATTGATCTGTGCAGTGTTCTGCAGCACAGCGCGCGCTGCCTGTGCCAAGTGGTTAAGCGACGTGTAGCGCCGCAGAGTCTGCGCGAAGGCGCCAGCAGCTGCCACCTGGGGGCGATGGGGTGAGGGCATGTGGCTTCTGCAAAACCCACACCCACTGCAACCTTTCTGAGCCCTTTTCTTTCTCCTAAGAAGAAAGGGATGTATGCCTTGTTCCTTTTGTTGAGAGATCAAAGGGTGAAGGATTTCAAACTCTGGGTGTCCACCCACCCTGAGTGTGGGTCAAAAAAATCAATGGTTTGTGTCTGACCACCATTATTAGTTTGAAATGACACAACAGAAAATCTTAGAGGGCAATGCCCAGAAAGGGCATTGCTTCAATACATTTTTGTTCCATTTTGTCTTGATTATTCAAGTGAATGTCAGCTCCATGAAGGTGGGTTTTGTCCATCTTGGTCATTGCTGTGCTGCCAGCACTAAGAGCCATGCTGGGCACACAGTAGGTGCTCAATGAGTACGTGTTTAATAAATGAATGAATACACGAGTCTTGTCAGTTCTGAAGGGCTTCCCCCTGGATCCAGTTTCTACTCTCCCCGCAGGCCCACAGCCCTGCCCCGTGTCCAGCATATCCATGGGTGAGTCTTTTGACATCAGTTCTGTTTAGCCGTCCTGTTAGCATTTTACAGACTAAAAAACTCTTCTTTTCTTTTGTGCCCAACAGCAAGCACATACCATCTAATTCCTCACATCTGAGGAGTGAACGTGCAGCATCGATGAAGAGAGCTATTGTTCTATGTCCTTATCAGTGTCACTCCTTTCTTTCTTTCTTTCTTTCTTTCTTTCTTTCTTTCTTTCTTTCTTTTTTTTTTTAGATTTTATCTATTTCTGAACATTTAAAGCACTTTCTCTCAAGGTTGTCAGAAGAAAACTACTTCAAGTTTGCAGCTGGTTTTTAAGATGCTGTGTTGTGTACCAAAAAAACTACAAAGGGATTGTGTTTCAGAAATGGGTAACTGAGGAAGCTGGTTTGTAAAGACATCATCCAAAGCTTCCTCCCAGGGAAAAGGCATGGGGACAAATCTTATTGCCCCTACTGGGCAGAGGTACTGAGGTAGCCAGCCACCAGCCCTGAAGCCAGGAGGGAGGAGCTGGGCCGAGCCCAGGCCGGCCCCTCACACCCTCACCTTCACCCGCAGCATCTCCTCGGGGATGTTCACCATGGCATGGGTGAGCCAGCTTTCCAGGCTCTTGGCAAAGTTCCGGATTGCTTGGGTCAAGGCACCTGTGGGTGGCAGTGGGGGCTGATCAGGACTGGGGAGGGGGCGGGATGCGGGGCTGAGGGGGCGGCAGCAGTGCACTCACTGGGGATGGGCCGCAGCACATCAGGGATAAGGATCTCCACCAGGCCCTGGTACAGCACGTTGTCACAGTGCTTGGTCCACTGCAGCACAGGCTCAAACTTGGACAGCAGCACCAGGCTGGCCTTGGGCAGCCGCTTCTCAGCCTCATCATGCCTGTGGGCACCCCACCCCCCGGGTCAGGCAAATGCTCCCTGCCTCTGGCTGACCCTCAAGGTCACGCTGACATAGACTCCAGTGCCCCCAGAGTCTGATGGGGTCTCATGCTCTGCATACTGGGGCACGGTACCTGCCCACCCGCCACAGGAAGGAAATGATTCGGCGGGGCACACCATCCCATGTGCTCACCGCCAGGCCTATACACACGTATACTCTGTGTATGCAGGAGTGGGGGTCGGACAGCCAGGTGTGCCCTGCCAACTGCAGGAGCCAGGCAGGCACCCCCACTCCTGCATGAGGCCTGAGGTGCCTCATGCAGCACCCCCTTCCTCCCATCTTCCCCACCCTCCCCTGGGGACTCACACGGCCAGCGGTGGTGCCTCACTGGGCTGGCTGAAGTTGTACCTCCAGAAGGTTTTCCACAGCGTCTCCACCAGGGTGAACTGCAAGTTCACCATGACGTCAACGATGGCCTATTGGGGAGGCCAGACGTTCAGGGATGTCATGGGGCAGCATGGCCCTCCCTCACCCCTGCCCACCTGCCAGTCTGCCCTACCTCACAGTGTTCCCGGTATAGGGCCTGGAAGGCCTTGATGTCCCCGGGCCCAACACCCTCGGGTAGCACTTTGCCCTGGAGGTCAAGCTCTGAGAAGTCAGGGAGGCTCCTCGAGGCATCTGGGGGCAGGAAGCGACACCATGAGGCCGTTTGTCCCCTACTTGCCTGTCCCCTTGGAGCCTCATCCTGGGATCCAATTAAGTTGTCACCACTTTCCTATCAAGCAGGAGTCCCCCATGTGCCGTGGAGGATGACAAGGCTCAGGGAGGGCAAGTGAACCACCTGGGGACCACAGACCCTGCCCCAGGCCCCGGCCCATAGGCCAGGGGGCTCTCACCCAGGAACTGCTGGTACTGCTGGACCTGGGCGCTGATGTCTGACAGCCCGGTGGCCTGCTGTGGCCCCACGGCCACACCGTTGGTCATGCCCTCCATCTTCTGGATGGGCTTGAGCCTGGGGGAGAAGGGGTGTGCGGGCCAATTGGGTGGGGGTCAGCCAGAACACCCTTCCCCACACTTCAGTGCAAGGTCCAGCCTGCCCTCTTACCTCTGCTTCTGTGAGAAGGGCTGGCCTCGCATGGCCATGTGCTGCTGGTCCTCCATCAGCCGCAGCAGGGGCGAGCTGGCCTTGATGCGCAGGCCGTAGTAGTGGTACTTGGAGTTGCCCCTGGGAGTGAAGTGGAGGGTAAGGGCTGGGCTGCGGAGGCCACTAGTCATCCGCTGGGAGCTTCGCATCATACCTTCCTCCTTGTTGCTTGGGGGTCACACAAAGCCCACAGAGGGGATATACACATTCTACAGAGCCAGGGTGCTGTGCTGGGGAAGCACAGGGGCTATGGGTGCCAGGAGAGGCCCCCCTGTGCCAACTAAGCTCTGTGAAGACGGGGCCAGTGTCTGGGGCATCCTCAACTCCGGATCCTGGCATGGAGCAGCAAAGGCTGTTGACTGCTAGTCATAAGAACATGCCAAGTGCTGTTCTGAGCTCTGAGTATATACAAATCCACATGCTCCTTATCCACACCCTACAAAGGTTGCTCGACGGACAGGTGAGGAAAGGGAGGCAAAGATGCAGCACCTTGCCCAAGGTTCTGAGGTGATGCCTAAGCCGGAACTGGAACCGAGTGACGCATGGGGAGGTGCGGGGGTTGCAAAAGAGAGGCAGGGAAGGATGGGCTCGTGGAATGGCTCCACGTCCCCTCCTGGGCGAATTCACTGACTCAAAGTCCTTGATAAAACACTGACTGAGTGCAGTCCCTGCACTCGCAAGGTGTGTCAGAGGACAGATAAGGAAAAGGGAAGTAAGTGATATAAAAGGCAATAGGACGAGGGGGAGTGCTATGAAGAAAAAGTGAACAGGGAAGGGGGAAGCGTGGGAGTGTCAAAGAGGTGAAGAAAAGATGTAGTTTCAGTTAAGGGGGCCCAGGGATGTTTGAGTAGAGGCAGGGAGAAGCAGACAGGGCAGAAGGCACAGGTGGTGCAAAGGCCCTGGGGTAGGAAGCTGGAGCAAGGCCAGTGGGGCTGGAAAGGAGCGAGTGAGGACATGAGAAGGGGAGCTGAGGCTCTGCATAACTTGGGGTGGCGTGGTCCTTGTGGCTGTCAGAGGCAGGGGGACCCACCTGGTGCCCAGACGGCGGGTGCGCAAGCCCATGAAGACAGAGCGGATGAGCTTGCCAAAGGAAGCGGCGTTGACAGGCTCCAGCTTCTGCTCCTGGCAGTGCAGCAGGTAGTGGCAGTAGAGGGTGCTCCGCGGCAGGCTCACGCCCTCGGCCGTCTCGTAATTGTCCAGGAGCCACTGGACCTGGGGCCGGAACGGGGATGAAAGAGTGCTAAGAATCGCTTTAGTTTCTCAAGTACAGTATTCCCCCCTTATCCATGGTTTCGCTTCCTGCAGTTCCAGCTACCTAGGGTCAACCACAGTCTGAAAATACTCCATTTCGCCAGCCGCCAACGTTGTCTGTTCCTGACATCCAACCACTGACATTGTCATGGCTTGATGCTCCGGGATCACTGAAGCATAGAATTCTCCTTCTGACGTGTTGTCAGAATGTCAGTAATAACCTAACACACTATGCAAACATTCACATGTCACTCACCCCGCTCCATCTCATCATATAGGCACTGTACTCTCGCTCGTCATCGCAAGACGGGTGAGCACAGTACGATAAGATATTTTGGGAGAGGGAAAGACCATATTCACATAATTTTTTCTATAATATATTGTTATAAGTGTTCTATGTTAGTATAAGTTGTTGTTAATCCCTAACTGTACCTACTTTAGAAATTAAACTTTAATCATAGGTATGGATGTACAGAAAAAACATAGGATATATTGGGTTTAGTACAATCCACGGCTTCAGGCATCCACTGGGGTCTTGGAACGTATCCCCCGCGGATAAGGCAGGATCTAAGTGCTCGTGGCTAAGTGCTCTCTGTACCTATTTCTAATTGTGATCCTGACAATCACAATGTAGGGCACAGTGTATCACAATGACACTTAGGAACTAAATCCCATGGAACTCTCTAGATCTGTACTGTCCAATATAGTTGCTATAAGCCACATACAGCTATTTAAACACAAATTTAAATTAATTTATGCTGAGTGAGAAAAGCTCATGTCAAAAGGTCACAGGAAGTATGAGTCCATTCATAAAACATTCTCAAAATGACATTATAAAACTGGGGACCAGATTCATGGTTGCAGGGGTTAGGGATGCTGGGAAGGTGGGGGGGGTAACCAGGAAGGTTGGCAAGAGGGAGACCTTTGTAGTGCTGGGACAGTTCTGCACCTTGACTGTGGTGGGGGTGTTTCCAACTCTACACACACAGAAGCAGACGCCCACACCATGCCATGCTAGTGGCCTGGTTGGATACTGTACTACAGTTATGTCAAATGTAACTAGCTGGGTAATCTGAGGAAAGGGCCCATGGGGATCTCTCTACTATTTTTGCAGTTTCCTGTGACTCTAAAATTATATCAAAATAGTTTAAGAAAAGCAACTTAGCTCAGTTCCTCAATGACCCCCGCCAAATTTCATGTGCTTGATAGCCACATGTGGCCAGAGGCCTCCATGTTGAGCATCGCAGAGAGAACACTTATATCGCCAGAGAACATTCTATGGGACGGCACTGTTCTAGTGCATGTTTTTGAATTCTGGGTGAGGACCCTTTAGGGATTCCTGAAATCAGTTAGTGGGTCACACCAGCATTAAGAAAAACGAGACTAGAAGCCAGGCTACATGGGTGCGTAAGGGAGGTCCTGCCTTCTGAGAAAGGGTCCATCTCAGCTGTGTGGTCCACCATGCCAGGCGAGAGCAGTTTCAAAAGTGGAGCCCTGGCCAGATGGCTCAGCTGGCTGCAGCATCATCCCACGCACCAAAAGGCTGCAGGTTTGATGCTCTGTTGGGGCACTTATGGGAGGCTACCGATCAACGTTTCTCCCTCACATCGATGTTTCTCTCTCTCCTTTCCTGTCTCTCTAAAAATCAATAAGCATATCCTCTGGTGAAGATTAAAAAAAAAACAAGTGGGGAAGCCATCACTCCAGACCCCGCTCTCTAAGAGGACAGGGACTGCCCCATGACCACCAGGCCCTGACTCACCCGTGGTAACAGAGCTGCTGAGGGGCCCATGTGGGGCTGGGGCCCAGGGCCGCCAGAGTGGCCGCACGCAGCCATCCCTGTGCAGAGGGGGGTTGTCTCAATGCCTTCCAGATGAACAAAGAACGTTGCTCAGGGCAGATCCCCTCACGACGGTGCCTGCCTCTCCCTCTCCTTCCTATAACCTGCTTTCATCAACTATAATGAGTAGATGACACTTCTTGGGTCAGAGGCTCAGAGGGACTGAATAACTTGTCTGCCACACACTGAGGATTCGATCCCAGGCCATCTTAGCACTCCGGCGCCAGACTACCTAGGTTCCTGCTGATGGTGGCCTGCAACTACCGCCCACCACCTCCAACCAGGGGTCTCCGGCACCTGCCTCCTCGGGGGTCACGGTTGGTACTTACAGTAGCTGGTGAGGCACGGGTGGTGTGGGAGTAGGACTGGCTGGCACTGCCCAGCATGTAGCCGCCTTGGATCACGTAGGTGCCTGCTCCGCTGCTGCTGCCTCCGCCGCCGCCGCCGCCGCCGCTGCCCCCACCACCACCTCCACTGCCTCCACTGCCACCGTTGCTGCTGTTGCTGGCCCCACCCCCACTGCTGGTGGGGCTGGCGACAACCTGGCTGCCAGACACATACATGGGCACAGAGCCACTGCTGGCCACCGCCTGGGAGGTGGCAGGTGTGCTGACCTGGGCTGCTGTGCCCGCAGCCTCGTAGTAGCTGGTGCCCGCTGTCTGCGTGTACAGCGGCGTCTCAGGGTACGGGTAGGTGCTGGAACGGCTGAGAAAAGCAGAAGGAGGGGAGTCAGGGGCAAGAGCTGGGCAGCAAGGGCATGAAAGAGGAGGCTCCTACAGGGGTGGGCTTCCAGGGTGGAAGCAGGAAGCCAAGGCCTGGGTGTCAGACCAGGCACCACCCCAAGTGCTTGATGGACAATTTTTCATTGAATCCTCAAAGCAGCTCCTTGACATGGGAGTCCCCAGTTCACATATAAGAAAGCCAGGACAGAAGGGCTGGGTGACTTACAAAAGGGCACGCCCTTCACTCAATCAAAAAATATATATACTGAGCACTTGGTGTACCCTGGGCACTGCTTGGGAGCTGGAAGAGAAGCCTAGTGCAAAGGTAAATTGAGGGCACTGCAGAAGGTGGTACGTGCCCCGGAGGAAAACAAGACGGGAACAAAGGGAGGCACTACTAAATTCAGCGGCCACCCTGAGTACGGATGCAAGTCCTTTGGATCCAGTGCCCCTTTCTGCCCTGGAGAGTTTTCCTGCCGCTATCCCGGAACCGGCCTCAGATGATGCCGGCTCAAGGCTGCAAATTGCAGCAAGGGAGCAAAAACAACCATGGGTTTCTCTTTAGGGGGATGTTAAGTAAAAGGTGATGGACTCCTACAGAGGGGTGAAAGGAGGAGGGAAGGGGAAAAGGTCTCATGGTTCTGGCAAAGAACAAGTGCCAGAACATGCCATCTGTCTGCCATCCATGGGGGTGGAGAGGAGATGGGCAGAGGCACCTCTCTTGCTGCCTCACTAGACATCATTGAATATAGCTTAGACTTTTGAGCCCTCTCAAAGTAGTGATTAAAAATAACATTAAACTTTACAAATCCAGAAAGGTGGCAAGACCACTATGGGATGGAGGGCCCACTAGGGGCGGGAGCCTTGCAGGCCACTGGGGGCAGCCAGGAGAGGGAGCTCGTCGGGGGAAGAGGGGTAAGAGGTGTGATCACTGGAGATGGGTGGCCCTTCCTATCAGACGGCTGGATGCAGATCTTGATCACTGCACCTAGGTCCACATCTACCACACAAGTGACACCGAGTCTGTGACCTGAGCCAGTACCAGCAAGTGCCTGCCCCTTCCAGGGGCAGGGACCACAGCCAGGACCAGCCCAGTGGTGTCCGACAGGCAACACTTGCTCCAAAAAAAGTAGCTCTGGCAGCTATCTACTGAATGACTAACTGAATGAATAAACACATGCGTCTCTGGAATTGGTTTGGACAGGGCCAGGGACGGAGGCACAGCGGCTGTGGCTTCCACCAGGGTGAGAATCAAGGCTGGCTAAGAGCCAGGAAGCCAGTAATGACCCACTGCGGGGGAGAGACAGAAGATACAGTACCCCAAGAACTTCATACATCAGAAAAACTGACGGTAACGATGGACCACATGGGATCACACACACTATAATCCGAGAGGGAGGAATTCAAACAATAGCAAGGGACAGATGTACTAAGGGAAGCAAAGGGAGCCACCTCAGGACCCCAGGCGTGGGCTCGTGGCTCAGCTCTGATTCTAACATTCTAGTGGCCTTTGGGGCCTGTCTCCTTTCCGGAATGCCCATTTGTGGTCCCTGCCAGCATTGGTTAAATGTACAGCGGGAATACTGGCAGCACTAGAAATAAATCGATAGAACTGTGGGATAGCTGGACTCCATGGACGGTGACTCAGGTACTGGCACCATGCCCCCAGGGGTAGCCACAGCATCATGACCCGGGGACCAATCTGAGCACGGTCCACGGGCTAATCCACCGCCAGTGTCATGTCCACAGGGAAAGGTGGCAGAGATATAAGAAAAAAACAGACAAATGCAAAGAAAACCAAATGAAACTTCTAAAAACTGAAACAACAGCAGTAACTATAGTCCTGGAATTATTACGGTGGAAGAGGTAATTACGTGGAAGAGGCAATGGAAGAGGGAAGGTGGCACGTGGAGAATCCTGGGCAAGAAGGAGCCAGAGCTGGGGCTAGGGCAGGCCAGGGTCGTGGTATCTGCCTAATGTGCGTGCACTAATGCTGTGCCGTGCTCAGTACCAGGGAGTGGAAGTCACCTATGTGTCAGCTGGGTGGGGTCTGGGTATGTCATTCATGCTCTGTCTGCACAGGGGAGTATCACACACTGTTGAAAGATGGTGACCAGGACTCACATGAGCAAATAGGGGACAAGTTTCAAGGTACACAATTAGGGGAAGAAATAAGGGATAGAAACCTATTGCCTCTGTTTCTGAACAAAGAAAGGGTAGTTTCTATTCTCAGAATATCTCTGGGAGGAAACAAAAAAACAGGTCAGAGTTCCCATGCCCCAGGGACAGGGTGGAGGGTAAGGAATGAAGGCAATTTCATTTTCAATGTTTAACATTCCCTGCTACTTAGAAAGTTTAACCTTTAAAAATTTTTAATGTAAAATTTTTTTGGGGGGAGGGCATCTAAAAATCAGGCCCATCTTACTCCAAAGCCCTAGATTATGCTGGATCCCTTTCCCAACCTACAAGGGCCCTCCCTGCTGCACCATTGGCTGGTGGCTGCTGGCTGCCCTTAGGGAGCACCAACCACCTGTCTGTCACCTTGAAGACTGGCAGGTTCCCTGCGGGCTAGGCCTGGGCCCTCCAGTCCTGGGGGTCCTGAGCAGATCTGTGACCCACTCCTGTCTCCTCCCCCAGCCTTCCCAACTCACATGGCACTGGCCGTGTAACTGGCGTCTCCGCCCTCCACATACTGCACTTGGCTGGAGTACACGTGTGGAACAGGCACCTGCTGGAGCTGCTGCACCTGTCGCAGGATGAAGGGCATGCAGAGTGTCAGAGGCGGGCCAGGTCCTCCACTTCTGCCTCTAAAGGGCTGGCAGCAGCCCTGCCTGTCCCAGACACCTGGCTCCCGGGCTGGAAGGCTGTACTTTTGGGCAATCTGAACACACAGTGAACTGGGCCAGGGGTCAGAGGCCCAGGCCTGCGGCCTCTGCCAGGGTTGGGAATCAGGCACAGCTGTGTCAGAAAGAAGCCAGGACTTGCTGCTTGGGCTGGGGACAACAAGAGTGGGGTCTGAGGTGGGGAAGACAGAGGGGAGCCCAGATAGGGTTCCACAGTAGATGTGAAAGTTGGACCCTGAGGGCAGAGCCAACCACTGGGATAAGGAGGACGCTAGAGCCAGAGCCTGGAACTACAGACAGGACCTCAGTAGTGGAGTCTACATCAGGCACTGACCCCTGCCTGCGAGAGTGGGACCTGGAAACCTCGCTCAGAATTTAGGGGCGGAGCCAGGGTCCGGGGGAGGGGCCAGGTTTGTGGGAATAGAACCGGGAATTATACAGGCTATAGGGGCGGGGCTTGCGTTCCCCACCCCTTCCCACCCACCCACCGCGGGGCTTGCGTTCCCCACCCTTTCCCACCCACCCACCGGTCTGTAGGGGCGGAGCCTAGAACCTGGAACCGACTGTGGGGCGGGGTGAAAGAAGGGTCCCCAGGCTGGCCGGGTGGAGTTGGGGTGTCCAGGGCATAAGGGGCAGGGCGCGGGCCGGTGCCGGCGGATCCCGTCCCCGCCCGCCCTTCGTCCCGCCAGTGCGTCGGCCACCTACTTTGAGGGCCGTGGCTGCCGTGCCGAACACTAGCACCTGGGGGACTCTCTGGATCCTGACCCTCTGGTCGGGGCTGGCTCGGGCCGGGAGCCCTGGCAGTGGCTCGAGGACCACTTTCTGCTGCGGCAGGAGCAGGTGTGGGGGCAGCACGCCCACCAGCTCCACCCACTGCTCGGCGCCCAGCTCGTAATGGGGCGGCAGCAGCTCGGGGCTGCCTAGCTGCGAGAACTCGCTGCTGCACGCGGGCTGGAGCGACGGTGGCTCCGGGGCCAGCGGGCCCGGGCCGGGCCCAGGCGTGGGCGGCCGGGCCGGCGGCTCCGGTGGCGGCGTGGGCCGGGGCTCTCGCTGCTCTGCCTTCCTAGCGGAAAACTGACTGCCTGAGCTCTGGAGGACAAACAGAGACACTGTGGGGTAACCGGGGCTGCCGCGGGAGGCAGGGCTCCAGGCCTCCACCGCCCACCCGGCTGCTGAGCTTATATGCAGCAACCCGGCCAGAAGCAGGACTAGAAGATCCCTGCTTCATGTCTCAGGAGATGAGACTCCAGATCTCTCTCTCAGCAAAATCTGGGCCCTGAAATGCCAGGTGCCAGGGAAGGGGAAGCCCACAGCCAGAGGTGGAGCCCAGCGTGAGGCTGGGCCTTTGAGGACCCCAGGGGTGGCTCTATTCCCGCCCTGCGGCCTGAGGGGCCTGCACCCCTCCCCAGGCCAGCCCCCGGCCCAGTCTGAGTTTGCCCAGAGGTAGGTGGGGAAGATACGTACCTCTTGAGCCACATGAACTGGCTGGAGCCCTTGCACCGTCAGTGGCTGCACCGGGCTGGCTTTGGGTGCCTGTGGAGTGGCCTGGACCACAGACCTCTGGGGAGGGAAAAGGGAGTCAGACTATGGTAATCGTGGCAGTGATGGTGGCAGACCCACCCCTAAGCCCCCAGCCCTTGCCCGCGTGCACTCCTGTAAGCCTGGGAGCAGCCTGGAAAGAAAGAGGCCATCTCCAGCTTTTCGCGGGCAGCCCCGCACCAGGTGCCTTCCAGGTTCACCACCACGTTGACTCTGGGTGCTCAGTTACAGGTGTGGAACTCAGGCTCAGCAAAGCAAGGCTGAGGAGGTGACAGGCTGAGAGTTGAGCTGGGGACTGAATGAGAGGGTCCCTGCTCTCCACCTCCAGTCCCTGCAGGCTTATTCCACACCCCCGTGTCCAGGACTCCCACTGTCCGCACTTCCATGCTATGGTGGGGATCCAGGCATCTCCTTCGGGGTACAGTGAAGGACAGAGGCAGGGGTGGGAGGGGTGGTTTGCTGAGTCGTGGGGCATGGACTCGAACCCAGGTCAGGAGGGTTAGAGAGGCTGCGGTGCCAGACAGGAGAATATCTGTGAATCCTTTGGGGCGTGGTTCTGATTTCCTCTGGGGAGAGGATCTGTGGCGTTTATCTGGTTTTCTGAAGGGCTGGAAATGCACCAGTTCCAGTGGTAACAACCAGACAGCAGACAACCCTCGCCTCTCACCTAACCTTCTTTGGCTGCCGCGGCTGGTGGCTCAGAACACCACTCCTCCAGAATGCTGGGAATGGATTTCGAGGCTGGGGCCTCGCCCTGAGTCCCTAGGGGTGAGCCAGGACTTGGCCTTCGGGCTCCTCCAGGCACATGGGCCCAAAGAGGCCAAAGTTGTTTCTCAAAGCTGTTTCCAGTGCATGCTCCGTGTTAGGTGCCTCCCACAGGACCACATCTCATCCTCACAGCAGCTCCAACCACACTGACCCCAGGCCCCAGGGCAGAAGCCAATAATTAGATGAGGATGCTGAGCCTGGAGAGAGGCAGAAGCGCTTGCCAAAGGTCCAGGTGGCAGGACCCCCATCTGTCCAGCTCTCAAAGCCCTAAGAGGCTGCAGAGGCCACCTGGCCAGGACCCCTCGTCCCCGCTGCCGCCCGCCTTGGCCTGGCACCTCTTGGGTGACAGGGACACTCTGCTGGACTCCGTGGACCTGCAGCTGCTGTGGCACCGTGCCCGTGGGGGCCCCAGCCGTCTTGCTGGAGGAGCTGTTGGCCTGCACTGGCGACCGCTACAAGGAAAGAAGACACGGAGTGTTGCCTGGGGCACCCAGGCCCTGACAAAACCCTTCTCTGGAGGGCTGTCCCCAAGAGCTGTTGGGGAAGGTGGCAGCCAGTGAGGGCATGTGCCAACCCCCTGAGCTGGTAACCAGCAACATTCTGTGCACCCAAATGCCTAGTCTTGGCCACAAGCCACAGTCACCACTGGGCAAGGCCAGGGGCTCAGCCCAGAGGTGCTGGTGAGCAGACCCATCTTCCCCAGTGAGGAGAGCCAGACTCCAGCCTCAGTGCAGGGGCCATCTGCTGCCTCCATAACTGGAGGGGCTGTAGCCTTGATGTGAGGAAAGAGGGGTGAGGGAACACCTAATGTCCAGATGTGCTGAGGCACTGATGGCAATGAACATGGCCCAGAACCACATAGCTATTAGTGGTAGCACTGGGCACTGCCATTAGGCAAGCGGCTACAGAGCCCCCATGAGCTCCGGGCCATGCCGGTATCATTAGGTATTTTATACATAGAAAACTCTGGACCCAGAAGGCTCTGAGGGCCTGCCAGGAGTCCCTCAAGAGTAAAAAACTGAGATGGAGAGTCTGGCCCAAGCTTCTAACGTGGATGCCCATGCTCCCAGCCACCCATGGCCTGCCTGCCTGCAACATTCTTAAAGGTATTTGGGGATCCCCGGATTTCACCCTGTGGTTTGAGGAAGAGGCTCAGCCCCCCACTGCAGAGGGAAGAGGGGCCCACTTTGCCTCCTGGGATGCACTTCTGAACTGGAGTTGAGAGGCTCATCTCAACCCAGGGTTGGGGGGAAGCCATCTCCTTCTCCTGAAGGTGGCAAGACCAGGAATCAGGCAGCCAAGCCACCCTGCCCAGGGTCAAAGAGGGCATCTGGGCGGAGGAGGCTGGAGGAGCAAATGGGCTTGCTGGGCAGGGGGCTCCAAGTATACTATGGGGATACATGGCCAACCTGGGGAGAGCAGAATGGGGAGGAGAGCCGACAGCCACCACCTACCTCAGGGGGTGAGTGCACCTGCTGAGTGCCATGCACCGCCAGGGAGACCTGGCCTGCCTTGACGCCCGGGGCTGTGCTCTGCACTACCAGCCGCTGCGTGGGGAGAGCCTGGAGCCATGAGGGAGAAGGACCACAGTTCACTGATGACAGGCCGTATGGTTTTAACAAGCATTAACGAGCATTAACGAGCATCTGTGCTGAGCCAGGCAACATCCTGGTGCTGTACACTTAGCTCATGGAATCGCCCAGACAGCCCTGATGCGGCACAGTCCTTATCCCCGCTTCCCAGAGGTTGCCAGTGAGGCTCAGTACAGCAGATGTGCTTGCCTAAGGTCCTGGGGCCTGTAAGCCGCAGAACCAGGGTCTTTGTACAGGAGGCCTCGCTCTTGAACCTGACAGAGCTGTCCAGGTTCATGCTGCAGCCCACATGCCACCTGTAGCCTTCCAGGGGACAGAGCACCTAGCTCTCATAGTTCCTGTGTTGGCTGCAGGCTGTCGGTACCTAACTGACCTTGGGTTCTCTGCCTGGGGACACCAGGATGGACCCGTAAGCCACCTTCCTTACTGCCAATCCTTAGTTCTTCCTGTTAAAGTGACTTGTGTGGCTCTTCCTTCCCTGATGAGCCCTGACTGACTGTCTCACCCACCGGAGGCAGTGGGTGGAGCAGCCCCTGGGTGGGCCCAGGTCCTGGATGCTGGTGAGAGCAGATCCCTGAAGGCTATCAAGGGTCGGTTCTGCACCCTGGGGAGGCTGTGAGGGCCAGGGCCAGGTGTGGCAGACTTACCTGCTGGGGTACAGGGATGTTGGTGAGCTGAAGGGGTGACATGTGGCCTGGCTTGGCCTGCACACTCGTCTGGACCAGCAGCCGCTGTGGGAGCAAGGAGGAAGGCCCTGAGCCATATCGACTTCCCCAGGAGGCCCAGCCCAGGTGGGCAGAGGAGCAGCTGAAGTGAGTATCTTCATAAGGACACGTAAGCAGATGGCTCCAGCAGCAGATCAAGGAAGGAAGGTGAGGTATCCTCAGCCACAAGCCATACCGCCCCCACTCATGTGCCCTCCCCACTCACCCCCAGGGGAGGGGTGAGTCCTACCTGCTGGGTGCCTTGCACCTGCTGAACCACCTGAGTGGGGACTCCAGTCTGGCTGGCTGTGGAGCCTGGGCTGGCCTCTGACACAGTCTCACTGGCCCGCATGGCACCTTCTGGGAGGAGGAGTCACAGGGTCAGCCCTGCCCCTGCCCCTGCCCCTGCCCCACCCTGAGCTTGAGTCCCTCTGGATGGGGCGATGCGGTCTGAGGCAGACCCCCGATGGGGCCAGGCCTCTGTAGGAGTCATGCCTGCCCTCTGGCGAGCCCTGCGTATGCCCACTGGGGTGCGCTGGAAACCAGGAGGACCCTTAATATCCGAGAGCAGCCCCATCCCACCCCTGCACTCCTCATCCCAAAGCCAGACCAGAAGGGGTGACGAGAGAGCTATGATGCAGCAGAGGCCCAGAGGGCTGGACCTGCTTTTCCCAACAGATGGGACTTGGGACAGACACTGGCTGGCCTCCCACCTCGGTAGCCCTGGAAGGACCAAGGCGGTGCAGCCACCTTCCCTGAGATGACCCCTGGCTTCCCAGGAACTGCAGCTGGTTAGAGGAATGGTCCCAGAACACCTTGATGGCAGTGGCCAAGTGCCCCCTCCCTCTCCACTGTCCCAGCCTTTCTGTCCTAGTGGGGTGGGGGCTGGCTGGTACTCACGCTGAAGGGCAGTCGAGAAGAGGCAATCATAGAACATGGTGCCTGCCTCGCCGTCCATCCCCCCCACCCCTTCCTGCATCCAGGGAAGCCTGCCCTGTGCTCCTCGCTCCTGGCCCACCTCTTCGGGAACAGCAGGGCACACGGGCAGGTTTATACCTGCAACCTTGGAGAGCTAATCCCCCCCAGTGGATGCAAAGCTCCCAGCTGCCCTCTTGGAATAAACACTCCCCTCCCAGCAGGCGTGGCCAAACAGGGCCTTCTAGGGGTTGGGGCTGCACTGCAGAGTCAGAAAGGAGGCTGGTACCCAGAGATGCTATCCGGTGGGCACAGGTAGAGTCATGCACATATCAGTGAGTGATTAATGTGAACTGGGGGCAAGGGTGTGGAGGGTGAGTGTTCCTGAGAAGTGCTGGCTGGGAGACCCTCACCTCAGCTAGGAAGCCATTCATCCTGACCGCTTGTGTGGCCTGATTTGCTCCTGGTAGTTCCAGAGGCTGTGGGGTGGGGTGGCTGGGGGCACACATGTGCCTGCCCTCTCTCTAATGTGCTGCCGTGTTGCCACAAGGAGCCAGAGTCCTGGCCCCACTTCCTGGGTCTTCTGGAAAGATTGGGGGGTAGTGGGCAAGAAGGCCTAGGATTAACTATAATGATTAACTATAGTGCTTTTGGTGCCCCAGGAGCTGCACTAGGCTCTTCCTGGGCAGCTGGAGATGGAAAGAACTTTTATTACCCCTGATTTCAGATAAGGATACAGAGACAGGAAGAAAGGAAATGACTTGCCCAAGGTCACCCAGCTGGGAACAGGCAGGCAAGGAAGGACACAGGCCCATGTGAACCTCACACTGTGCATGGAACCCATAGTCACAGGTCACGCCCAGGCTGAGGCCCCATGGGCAGTGGAGTGCAGACTCAGGCATGTGGGTACAGGGGCCTATGGGGACAACACAAGATTCAGAGCATCCCAGGGTGGGGGCTTAGCCTCCAAAGCAAGGAGCTGGGCCTCAGCTATGTGGGAACACCAGAAAGGCCTAGCCAGGACAAAAGGGGCTAAGTATTGAGGCAGAGCGCATGAATGTGTGTGTGTTAGGTAGTGGGAAGTAATGGCCAAATGTGGGAGGAGGCATTGGGAGAGGCCTCCCATTGGCCACATGCGGGGCGGGCATATGACAACCCCAGGCTTGCTCGGCCAACTGCCTCTGCAGCCAGTTCCAGAAGGCATGGATTCCTGTTTTGCTGGAATCTTCCCTTGCATCCACTTAGGCTTCCCCGAGCCATGAAGGAGGAGGCCCTCACTGAGACAGCTCCCTGGAAGAAACCTGAGAAAACCCTGAGTCACGTGAGGAGCCTGGCACACCTGGGTGTCTGTGGGGCACAGGGAGCCAGACCCAGCCCAAGGGATGGTGCCCAACCAAGGAGGCCTGTGGCAGGTTTGGCCTGGCACAGGGTGGGCAGGGAGTGGGGAAGCTGGCCCTAGACACCTCCTAGGCCAGGGACTCTGATGAAAACACCAAGGCTGATCCATGAACGGGCCGCTCAGAAGATCAGACATCTGCCTGGGACAGGGAAGCCTGGGAAGAACTCTTGCCCATCTCCTGACTCGGGAATGGCCCCCAAGACTGAGACCCCCGAGTCTGCCAGGCCAATAAGGTAGGCTGTGCTGCAGGAGGATGAGCAGGTAAGGTTCTAAAGTTTACTCCTCGGATGAGAGGCTTCCTGTGTGCCCTGTCTGCCTGGGTCTTGCCCAAGATGTGTGTGCGAGAGTGAGAAATATGGAGTCTGAGAGCGTCTGCGTCTGCCTGTCTGCCATCTCCATTCTAGACATGTGCACGAGATCAGGGAGGTCCCCGCCACGTCAAGTCTCTAGTCAGGAAGTGGCAGCTGATTTCCTGTCCCTCAGTCTGATGAGTGTATTGTCCTCCCTGGGCCCTGCACTTCCCCTTTAAGATCTACTCATACCTCAAATGCCACGAGCTACTTGGGGGAGGCTGAGGGAGGCCCACTCCCCACAGATAATAGATGGGGCACTCTGGCCCTCTCCCTCCTAGTCCTTTGCTCCCAGGGATGATTTCAGACAGGGCCTCCTGGTGGGGGGAATCTCAGGTTCCTGGGTCCCTTGTTTGTCCTGACCTCAGTCTCCCTATCTCTAGGAAAACCATACATCCCCACCCTCCATGTCTCTCTTCCGGGCACAGGTCTTTTGGACTCCCAAGGACTCCAAGTGAGACAAAAGCAGGGGAGAGACACTGGGCACCATCCCTCCTTCAGGCTAGCCCCATCCCCGGCAGGCAGGCTTGGTTTTGCTGTCCTGGGGACACTGCCAGGAACCACAAAGTTCTCCTTCCACCTCGGGTTTCTGGTGATGAGTCTTGTGGCCACGAAAGAGGGGATTCACGATCTAAAGAACTGTTTCTGAGCAGGGAAACTTGAGCTGCCCTCCCATCACCCCCAAAGTCACCTTAGGGCAGAGCCCTCGAGGACAGAGTTGGATGACCTGCCTTCTGTTGCTGCCTCGGCTGGCTGCCAGCCTGGCCTCCAAGTCTGGGTCCAGGCTCCTCCCTGCCCCCTCCCTGAGACTCCCTGGGTCCCTGGTCAGCTCAGATTGCTTCTGGTCCGGGAGGAGCCCCAGGCACTTTGCTGCATTTGCTGGTGTCACTTACACGTCTCTACACCCCCCCCCCCAACTCCCCCCTGCCGCCAGGACTGGCTCACATGGCCTAAAAGCCACCCTTAGATACAAAGAGACATTAACCTGGGAGAGAGTCACTAGAACCTAGGAAATCACTGCATCAGGTTGGGGGAGGGGTCGACAGAGCAGCAAGTGCAGTTGCAGGGTGCCAGCCAACCTCTCCTTCCTCAGGACAGATCTAGGAAGCATTCCCCCGTCACCCTTCTGGGGACAGGCTCACTCCTGCCAGAGCCAGGAGCAGCAGGAAAGAGAAATCTCCCAGGACCATTGTAAAAGATGATTAAGCCAATGCCAAAGAAGGGATCCCAAGAGTTGTGCCAAGAGCCCAGAGCACCCTGCAGCATGGTGGGAGGACAAGGGGTGGAAGGATGAAGGCTACCTCCCCAGGCCCCACAGCTAGCGAGAGTCCTGCTGAGACCCAAAAGACCATGCATAACCTTGACCTCTTAGAATGGGCCTCCCTGGGGAGTCTTAGGAGGAGCTGGGGGAGTGAAGGGAAGAGAGGAGGTAGGTTGGGATTTGGGGAGTTCTGGGGCCTGCAGCTGTGCACCCATTCTACGCCCTTGCTCTAGAGACCCTGGACCAGAAGGCAGTTAAAGTCAGCACCCAGGAGGTCCAGGGCCAGTCAATACCCCAGAGCTGAGCCAAAGCCTCCAGCCGTGAGAGGCAAGCACTCCCACCTGCTCTTCGCGGCCCAGGGGCTGACTGGTGTGAGGGCTGCACTGGTCAGCCAGCATTCATGTGGGGGTTCACAGGTTACTCCACAAAGACTCGGAAGAGAGAGCCCCGCCCTCACAGAAATGGAGGTGGGTGCCATGACCGTCATCACTTCAGGTGGTGATGAGTGTTAAGAAGAAAAATAGAACGAAGTAAGGAGACAAGGAATCAAAGTGGGGGTGAGGTGGTGTGGGCATCAGGGAGGTGCCAGCGGAGCAGAGACTGGAAAAACACAAGGGATGAAACTCCAGAAGGTGCTCTAGGCACAGGGTCCAAAGAGGGCAAAGACCCAGAGGCTGTACCAAGCTGGTGGGTTTGCAGAGCTGCAGGAAGGCCGGTGAGGCTGGGGCAGGGGTCTGAGCACCCAGCGGGGCCAGGCAGGGCTGGGCAGCCAACAGGACTCCCAGGCCAGAGTCGGGAGGCTGGGTGTTCATCAGCAGGGGCTCAGCAAGTGTGAAGCATTTAAAGCGCTTTCCTATGGGAGGGGCCAAAGGGAGCAGATGTCCTAGGGCCCAGAAAGCCCAGACCAGGGTTTCTCAGACAGTGTCCCAGGGCCACCTGTCTTGGAATCAGTTGGGTTGAGTTGGGATGTGAAGGGACCTACAACAGTCGTCAACAGGAGCCCTCCAGCTGCGAGGACTGTAAAGGGGAAGGGGAAGCTGGACCAAGGTAGGCGCCATGGAGGCGCGAGATGGCTGGACTTGGGAGGGGGAGCCAAGAGGCCTTGCTTACTCGAGAATGGGTAAGACACGACCCAAGGCTGACCTGGGCCTGGGGGTGGTATTTATGAGGGCGGGAAGCCTCCAAAGAGGGCAAATCTGAATTGGGAGAAATCCAGAGTTCATTCGGCCATGGTGGCCTGAGAGGCCTGTTCAACTGAGTGGATGGTCACAGGTGGCTGGACACAGGATCCTGGGGTTCAGGGCTGCGACCCAGGGTGTAGACATCAGTGTGGATATTGTCAACATAGAGGTGGCTTTGAAAGCAAAGACATTGGACAGGTCATCATGAAGGATGAGTCACTGGAGTGAAGAGGAGGCCTCCAGCCTGATGAAGTCATTGCTGATGAGGCTAGAGAGATGAGGAGGAAATGGCAAAGGGGATGGAGAAGGGGAGGCAGGGAGGTAGGTGGAGACCATCGCAGGAGGGCATCTCTGGGAGGAGGGTGACCCCAACTGGGCCACTGGGGAGGAAAGGTGTGGGTGGCTGAGGAGAGAGCTTGGTGTAAGGAAGAGAGGACACGTCCTTTGAGGAAGCCTGATTTAAAGGGAAGAGAAGACATTAGTGGAAGCTGGAGGGGTTGCAGGGCCTTGCAGGGGCGGCGGGGGTCCTGGTTAAAACGGGAGCTGTCTCGTCTTTGTGGGTAGTGGGAAAGAATGCAGGATAGGGAATGAGCGACAAGGCGCGGGGGCGGGAGCAAGGCCTGGAGGGGGCGGCCTGGGAGCGGCAGAGCTGGTGACTGCAGATGGACCCTGGGAGCTGGGAAGCTGCCTGTGGGTGGGGAGATGAGGTCCTTCTCATCACGTGATGATACCTTGTCCCCAGTGAGGTCAGCAGCAGGGGCAGGGGTCAAAAATGCAGAGTGAGAGGGAGATGATGGGGGAGGAGAAAGTGGGTTTCTTGGATAGTGGGGGGATACACTAGCGAGAAGATGTAGCAGGATCACTGGGCGGCACTGAGAACCCACTGGAGATCTGTGGCCCGGGAACCCTGGCCATGCCTACGGCCTGGCCTCAGCCCAGGGTGCTCAGCATGGCTCTCAGGCACCATCCCTCCACACCATCTGTGTTACCACAGCATCACTGCTCTGAGCTCCCTGTGCCCCCACCTCCTGGCCCTCTCTGGGGACCCCAACACTGCCAGGTGTCTCCAGGATGCTGCCCAGGGCCCCGGTTCCATCTGTTGTAGTCCCACAAGGCCATGTCAATTGCCACATATCTGACTATCATTCATGGTCCTAAACTCAGTCTTGGCCTGCCCCTTCCACAGCCTCCCAAGATGCACTGTGAACCCCCTGCCACTTCCTTTTTCACTCCAAAAGGATGAGGACAGCCTCAGCTGGGGATTTTTACCACATCCTCCCCCTTCCTCAGAGCACACTGGAAACCACTAACGATGCCTAGTCCTGGTCTGAGCCGTACGCTCTCCCTCAGAGGAGCGATGGCCTGTCCCGACTCCTCTGATCCGGGCTCCCTCTGCCCAGCCTGTCCCTGTCTTGGGAGGAACTGGGGTGTGGGTTAGATGCTCTAGGCAGGAACCATAGGCACCATGACCCCAGTGTCCTGGTGATTTGCTCTACAGCTGTAAGGGGTGGCCACAGTGAGAAACAGACACCTTTGGCCACATACTCTTGAGCTTGTCCAGCCATTTGCCCAAGTCCTGCCAAAAATGAAATGGAGGGGAGGGGAGAGGACGCTTCAGGCCCTGCGGCCTGTCTCCCTGAAGTGCCTCCATGAGCACCTCACACACATTCCCTGAGCATGTGAAACCGTTCAGATCCCTTTCTGGATGAGGAAACTGAGGCAGGGTAGCCAAGTGGTTGGTGAGCAGTGAAGCCAGGACTACAGTGCAGCAGGTATGCTCGCCCTCCTCTCCAGCAGATGTTTATAAACTTTAAATCTACTGCCCAATCCTTTCTTCAAGTGACACCTTACTTGGGGATAGACAGAAACAGCTCTAAGAGGTGCCCTGGTGGGGAGGAGTTGGGCAGGCCCAGCAGCTGCTGCCGCCTCCAAGACCCATCTGACCAGACAGAGGCAGCCCTTCTGGGTGTTAAACGGTCATGGTCCTCGCCCCAGGTGCGGGGCTAGGCAAGGTGCCCCTCTTGCTAGGCCCTGCCTATCTGGCCTGGCAACTTCTTCCCCAGAGATGCTCTGGAGTCTCGCTTGGGAATCCTGGAGAGTTTGACACCTGCCATCCTGGTGACAGGCAGTGACAGCTCTGACTGCCCGAATGCTCCCAAAAGCTCCTCTTGAAGTTGTTCAAAGAGCACCCTGGCCCCGCACACATGTCCACTTACCAGAGACGGTGACCACGATGTACTGCTGAGACACCGAGGACGGGGCAGGAGTGCCGGCTGGCTGCGAGGGTGCGGGGGCAGCCGGGAGCTCCGTCACATACTGCTTCTGGCTGCCCGGTGGCTGCGCCTGGGCCTGGGGGCTCTGCAGCTCCGTGACATACTGGGGCTGAGGGGTAGCAGCGGTGGCAGGTGGCTGGGGGGGCTGGGGTGCCGCTGATGGAGGTGGCGGTGGCTGGGGCTGGGCCTGTGGTGGAGCCTGTGGCGGCTGGGAAGGTTGCGGGGCTGCCTGTAGCTCAGTAACGTATGCCTGTGTTGCCATGCCAACAGTGGGGAAAGTGATAATAAATAAGGCTTTTTTCTTCCTTGGGAAGAAGGGGAGGGGAAAAGGGGGAAAAAAAAACAACAAAAGAAGGAAAAACAAAAATTAATTTATAGGCAGAGGAAGCCAGGGACAGCTCCTGGTTCCCTAGAGACACATTTGAGTTCATCACTAACTTAATTAAATCCTGAGGCCGGTGGCCAGCTACAACCAACCCATCACTACAGGGGCACTGGGTATGGACCAAGGCTGGTCTGCACTTCTTCCACTTAACCCTGCCCCGGACTTCTGCCTTCTTTTCTCCCAGCCCCTGGTGCCTGGGGGACCCCTGTGCCGGGAAGGGGGTGGTTAGAGGGGACTCAGTCATACCCTCACACTGGGACAAATGGTACAGTTCTCCTGAGGGTTCCTACAGGCTGGGCACTGTGCTTTACATATTTCTTTGCAAAAATCAATTTGGGTTTGGGTTCGGTCTGCCATATGAGGAACTGAGGCTCAGAGGTTAAGGAGCTTGCCCCAGGCCCCGGGCCCCAGAGCAGGGAAATGGCAAGGCTGAGTTGGAACCCTGGGTGCTCTGAGCACTTGACTAATCAGCTAATTGCTGGAAAGAAAAGTCTTGGGAAAAGCTGTCGGCCAGCCAGCCCATCCTGCCTCCCTACATGCCCACCATCTGGGCTTGGATTTTTGACTGAGTATCGTTCCCAGTGGGGTGCCAGACTCGGGGAAGGTGTTTGAGTCCAAAAAACACTCCTGAACTGCTATGGCCACAGAAGCTTTCAGACCTTTCCCTAGGGGCAGTGACAGGTGAACACACCAGATGTGAGTCCTTCATGGGCAGAGCGCCCTTCTGGGGCCACAGGGCAGGCCCAGCAGCTGCTGCCGCCTCCAAGACCCATCTGACCAGACAGAGGCAGCCCTTCTGGGTGTTAAATGGTGATGGTCCTCGCCCCAGGAGCAGGGCTAGGCAAGGTGCCCCTCTTGCTAGGCCCTGCCTCAGCAGGGGATGGGCAGATAAGTTTCTACCCCTTGCCCCCCGACCACCGCTAATGCACCTCATCCCCAGCTCCTGAGCATCTAAGGGCAGCGGAACAAAAGCTTGAGTGGTGCAGAGGAAAAGCTCCGGCACCACACCGCCATGGCCCTGCCTTGCCCCTGGAGCTACGTGAGGCTGAGAGCCCTGCCTGGGATCCAACTTAAGAGTGGGATTGTCAAGGGGAAGGAGGGGGAGAAAAACAGCTGCTGCTCCTTGAGGAGAAGCCCCAGGAGCATTTTGCTGTGACTGCCTCCTCACAGCAGCCTGGTGAAGGAGGAGTCACCATGTCCACTTTACAGATGACCAAAGCTAGGCTCCGGGGTGAGCTGCTGAAGGGTGCACAGCAACAGGGGATGGAAGGATTTGAACTCAGGTCTCTCAAACCCCCAGATGTGCTCTTAGCCCCCAGCGATACTCAGGGAGCCAGGCTCACTTATTTCCCACAATCAGATTTTCAGGTGAGGAAACCTGAGGGACCCCCTTCGTCCCCAACCCTCACCCACAGAGGTTAGCCACCTGTCCTGGACCCCTGTTAAAGCAGCAGAAATGGTGAGCAGGGAGCCCACCTGAGCAGCGTGAGGAGTGCTGGACAGCGTAATGGTTCCCCTGCATCTCCTTCCTGGGACCCAAGAGCTGTCTGAGTCAGCAGGGGGCAAGATGGGTAAGAAACAAGTCCTGGATGGGGCTGATGCAGAACTTGAACGTGGCTATCTCCTAGTTGTGTGACTTGGAAAAGAGCCTCCCCTCCATGAGCCTCCCCTGCCCCATCCATGAAATGGGAGTATGGCAGGCCTCCAACACAGGGTTGCTGAGTTCAGTCTGGTGGAGTGGGCAAGCTTGGCCAAGCACCCAGCACAGGATAAGCACTCAGGAAATGGCTCTGGTTGCCCATTTCCTGGCACCATCATTGCCCGGGCACATCATTGCCCAGGGCCCTTTAACAAAGCTCCGAGAAAGAGGACAGAGCTGCCAAGTCCTATCTCTGGGCTGTGGAGTACAAAGGGGAGGGGGCTTCTGTCTGTACTGGGGTGTGTCCGCTCACTGGGCTTGGGGTAGGCTGGGGAGGGGCCCCACGGCTCCTTGGGCTGGCGGGCTGGCTGGCTGGCTGGGTGGCTGGCTGGCCCAGGGCAGAGCTGGCAGAGTCCTGGGGCTACCTTACCAACCAGACCCGGTCATGAGGGGCAGAGGCAGACGGAGAGATGCCCACCGGGCACTGTAGAAGGGTGCTTCCCGTCTCAGTGCTTCCTTGCTGGTAACTCAGGCAGCCGAGGGAGCTCGCCCACTGGTGCTGTCTGCCACGCACAGGAAGCAGACATCTTCCTCCAGCCTCTGCCCTCCCCAAACTTCTTCTTGCCAGCATTACACAGGCCACCTCCCAGGGGCTCCTCACACCATCAGGTCCAAACTCTGGCCCACCTTGAGTACTCAAGTCACTGTAGCCAATCGTCACCCATCTGCCTGGTATCAGATCCAACACAACATGAACCCTGGCCTCATCTCTTAATTCATGAACACATGACTGGCCTCAGTTTCCCCATCTGTCACCTAGGCATGATGAGAAGAACCGATTCATAGGGCTGTTGTAAAGGTTCAATGAAATCAGCCCAGTACCCAGTGAGTGCAGGGAAGTGAGAGCTGCTTTTATTATTATTCATTCAACAAATATCTGTGCTGTGTGGGGATGAAGGGGTAAGGAGGTAGGCATCATCCTAGAGCACTTAGAAGGAGGCATTGAGGGAGAAGTGGTGTCATCAGCATCACTTAGAACTGAATTCAGGCTCCCAGGCCCCACCTCCCAAAGTCTGGGACGGCCCTGGAGTGTGCCGTTTGAGCTACCCCACCCCCGATGATTCTGAGGTGTGGTCCTGGGGGCACTTTCTGAGAAACCCTGGCGTGGGCTTTCTCAGCCCTAGGAGAGCTGGCCCCTGGTGGCCCCTCCCACCAGAAAAGGGCTTTAAAACCTCCACCCTCTCTCGAAGCTTCCTCTTCTTGAGATACAAAGTCTGCAGCCCTTCTCCGTTCCACACAGGGGCAGGAGGAGGCAATGAGGAGAGCTGAAAGGCTGAGCTCAAAGGGGTTTACAGATAAAACAGTTAAGCCAACTTCTCTCCTGGAGGCCTTCTCTGCACTGTCAGAGTTAGTCTCCCGGAGGGGCAGGCAATACAGGATTCCAAGTCTCCCAGGGAACTCTTTATTTTTCCAGTTGTGGATGACCAGGTTCAGCAGAGGTTTTTAGGGTGTTCTCTACAGAAGAATAAGTCACAGTCTCTATACAACATGAGGCATTCCTCATCTCTTTGAACATGAAAGCCTTTCTTGATGGAACAGAGCACATGAAACAAGGGAATCACTAAGCAAATCTGTTCCTTGGCAATGAAACTGCCAAGAAAAGCACCAATGGCTGCGCCTATCTTCAAAGCCAACGGCTGTGTTTTCCGAGAATAAATCAATTCCTCTAGATCAGGGCCAGCAAACTTCTGTAAAGGGCCAGACTGTCAATGTTTTTGGCTTTGTGGGCAGACTGTCTCTGTTGTAATGACTCAGCTCTGCTATTACAGTGTAAAAGCAGCCACAGCTGATATGTAAACAAACAAGTGTGGCTCTGTGCCGATTTTATTTCTAGACACTGAGATTGAATTTCATATAACTTTCACATCATGACATATTATCCATTGTCATAAAACATGTTTTTTTTGATTCCCTCCCTCCCACTCATTTAACAATGTAAAAATCATTCTTAGCTCATGGGCCATACAAAAACAGGTGGTGGCCATCGTTGGTGGCCTGTTTTGGATACCAGGTCCTATAACCAAATGGTTTACATCTTAGATGAGGCCCTTCAAAGGAAAAGGGAAAGAAAACTCATCTTCCTCATTTGCAGAATGACTTCAGTAAGGAAATTACAGGGAATGGGGAAATCATAATGTGTGTTTCCCTTCATCCTCTATACCCCATTAGTTTCTAAGGCTTGTCAGTCATTCCTCCAAAATGGAGCCCAAGGCTGGGCACTCCTCTCCATCTTCATCAACACTGTGTACGCCTGAGCTGTCGTCATCTCTCGCCTGGACCCCCGCCACAGCTTTGTCACTGGCTCCTGGCTTCACTCTTACCTCTATAGTCTTTTAGTGCCTTTTAAAACACAAACACTATTTAAAAGACTCCAACCCTCCTCATCACAGAGAATAAAAATCCAGAGCCCTTCCCATGACCTACCGGGCCCTGGGGGGGTCTGGCACACCAATCCCTGCCTTTCTCACTCTGGATGTTCTGGCCCTGTCTCTCGTTCCTAAAAGACTCCAGGCCTCCTCCAGCCTCAGGAGTTTTGCACCAGCTCTTCCCGCTATAGGCATGCTCTCCTCCTCTCCACCTCCGCCCCCCACCACTGGCTCTTTCTTACCATTCAGGACTCAACTCACTTGATACCTTCTTGGATTTCAAGCACCCTTCCCTTTAGCACTCTGAAACACATACTCCTGTTTTATTTTTCTTCCTGGCCCTGTTTTTCCTTGTTTATTTCCTTACTCATAGTTCCTATACCCCTCCATGACCAGAGAGGAAGCTTCCCAAGGGCAGAGATCTAGCCAGCCTTGTCCACTACTCCAACCCCAGCTCCTAAAACCCAGTGGGGGTTCAACTTTTTACTGGCAAGTGAGTATCCACGGGCTAGGAACACACTGATAAAGAGTGTCAAAAGCTGGTTAGAGCCATGCCCAGGTTGCTAAGTGGTTAAAGCATTGTCCAGTACACCAAAACGTTGCCCATTCTACCCACCTCCAGTGAGGACACATACTTAGGCTGTGGGTTTGACCCCTGGTCAAGTGAATATGGAAGGTGACCGATCAATGCTTTTCTCTCACATCAATGTTTCTCGCCCTGCCCCCTCCCTCTAAAATCAGTAAACATATCCTCAGGTAAGGATTAAAAATAATAAAATACATTTTTTAATAAAAGGTTAGAATCTACTGATTGGTGAGACCTTGTG